TTTTGGTATGACTTTGCTTTGTCCAGTTTTTCCATTGCTCCAGATAGATCAAGGTCAACACCTTGGAGTCTCTTGCTTACAACATTTATTTCAAACAGTATGTCATGCCACAACACTAAGCCACACAGAAATTTGAAGTTATGTATGTTTCTGGTGATTCCATTTCCCTCTGCCACTGTTCTCCCACGAATAGTTCCTGTCATAGCATTATCCTCCATAATGGCAACTATGGCATCATCTGTCATCCCAATTTGGTGTTTGATAGGCTTTATCGCCTCCACTCGACTTTCCCATCATGTGGCACTCCGCGGTTTCAGTGTCAGAGAGGATGTTCCCAGATGTTACTTCAAAATTTGCCATCGATGTGTTGATGCAGAGAAAAATACATAGATGCTTTGAATTACATTTAAAGATTCAGCAACCTCACTAGAATTTGATGCTGCATCACTGACCACCAAGTTCAATGAATGAGAACTGCATGGGACAAAAAAAGCTCGAGGGTTTAATTCTCAGATCCGTGTCTGCACTCCTCTGTTCTTTCCTCTCATGTTGGCACCATTATCGTATCCCTGACCTCTCATGTCAGCTATCACAATTCCCGTATCTTCCAGCTTTTTAAGAAGCACATTTGTCATACCAGCTCCCAGGGCCAGCTCCAAGGTTTTTGCCGCCCCAAGCAGCGTAAAAAAAAAAAGACCGCGATCGGCTCCACTGCGCCGCTTTCTTCTTCGGCAGCAATTTGGTGGTAGGTCCTTCCCTCTGAGAGGGACTGAAGGACCCACCGCCGAATTGCTGCCGAAGAGCCCGACGTGCCGCCCCTTCCCCTTGGCCGCCCCAAGCACCTGCTTGCTGGGCTGGTGACTGGAGCCGGCCCTGCCAGCTCCTGTAGTATCATCAATGTCAATACATTCTAGAAAATGCTCTCTGACAGTCACCATTGCAGGGACATTTTCACTAGGTTCTGTTGTTGTTACAAAACACACCATTAAAGTCATTTGTTCCATATGGCTGATGTCAGGTGTGCAGTCCAGAATAACAGAGTAATATCTTGCTGACTTCAGATCTGCCACAATCTTCTGTTTGACTTTTGTTGCCAGTAACTATATGATCTCATTTTGAATTGTTTTTCCAAAGTAGTGTTGTGTGTACATTTCTTGGGTGGTGACTCTTCTTAGATGCTCCTGGAATACAGCATCAAACTCAGCCATCACCTCCACAATTTTAAGGAAGTTTCCATTGTTTGGCACATACAGCTGATCTGAAGTGCCATGCAGTGCTAGGTTTTGGGTAGCAAGCATTCTCACAATGGCAATGAGCCTTTTCAGAACATTTTGCCAGTAAAGAGACTCTGATGCAATCTTCGCTTGACGCTGATCATCTATGGTGGCCTTTAACCTTAGTCTCATCTCAAGCTCTTTCCACCTATGGAATAATGCTCTCTGGTGATTTGCTCCCTTCTCATGGCATGCCAGATTTCTAGCCAGATTTTTCCAGTCCTTTATTCCTGTAGAACCCAATGTGGCTGGAACATTAGACTGGAAGAGTTTGCAACAAAAACAGTATGCCGCATTCTGGGTTTTGAGTACATAAGCCATGGCCTCCACTTTGTCACCATTGGGGATTTCACGCCAGTAATGTGTTGGATGGAAACTTCTATTTTCATTGTCTTTGGGGAACATGAAGTTTTTCACTTGCTGTGGCCCATGCAGTACAAGGAAGTCCCTCAGGCTACTGCTCAAGTGGATCCACAGTCCTGGATCATCTAGACTTAAGGAAATAAACTCAGCAGCAGCTGTTTCTTGCGCCTCCACCACACTCTTCTCTGATCTACACTTTTCTTCAGGAATGTGCACGGTTACATCCATTTGAGATGGAGATATGGATGCTGCAGTAGCTGCCAGGTCACCTGCACTCTGACTAACTGGAAGATCAGGCATCTTCTCACCACGCACATCCTTACTGGGACCGGAGAGCTCACTGTGTTCATTTGTGTCTATGTATCTCAGGAGAGCTCCTTCCTGCTTAGATAGAAAAGCTTCCTTTGCTTGCTTTCTTTTTTGAATGCTGCCCCGGAGGACACTCATGACTGCAGTTCTATGCCAGCTATAGTGGCTCTCAACACTCAATTGAAGGGGACAAATAAGCAGGCTGGTAGCAGGGCCTGAGTGAGGGAAGATATCAGCGTCTTAAAGGCCTAACTGGCTCCAACTACTTCAGTTGACTGCCTGTTCTCCTCAAGTGGGTTCAGGGAAGCAGCAGGAAACAGGACGCTCCCTGAGAAGCTGGTGTTAATTAGTCCTCCTCTCTCTCCCTGCAGCTCCTGCTGCTTTCTGTTATTCCCTCTCACCTTTTCTCCTGCCTGCCTGTTATGTCTCTTGTGCCCTCCTTCCTCCAGCACAGCACTCCACCATCTCTGTGCATCTAGAGCAGAGAGAATACATATGCACCAGCAGCAGACACAATTTTCTACACTCTGGGTCCTAGTGGTGCCCCCCCCCCTCCAGTCTGGCACCTGAGGCAGCCGCCTCAGTTCGCTTCATGGTAAGGCCACCCTGATAAAAGAGGGATAAAAATTTAAAAAGTACAAAGGAATACCAGGCTAGATAATCAGCTGGTATAAAATAATGTAGCTCCTCTGACATAAATGGAACTACACTAGTTTTCATCAGCTGAGGCTCTGGACATTTAGAGTTTTCTCTCTATACAGAGGCAAGAGCGCTTGCTGATAATAGGCAGAGTTAACCAGTCAGATGATGTTAACTCTTCTTTGTTTCCATATGTCAAAGCTCTTCCAAAAGAACAGTAGCTATTAGACTCTGTAAAACTGACAAAGTGGTTTTCTAAACATTTTTATAAGAAATGTTAAAGACAGTTAATACTGTCAAATTGCTTAGTATAGAATTTGCAGTATGGTCCGCATTTCCATAAAACATTATATACTGAGCCAATTGTTCATTTTGCTGTCTAGATACCTGCCTGAGATTATGAATGATGGGCTGACCAACCAGATCAACAATCCCGAAGTAGATGTGGACATCACAAGGCCCGACACCTTCATACGGCAACAAATCATGGCCCTAAGAGTCATGACTAACAAACTGAAGAATGCATACAATGGAAATGATGTAAACTTCCAGGATACAAGTAAGCAACTGATTTTGTGAACAAACATATCCTCCAAACAAATTCATAAACCCACCCCATCAGGGCCATTATAAATTATAATAACTCTCCTTAGTTATAGTAATCTGCTAAGTATACCTTATTCCAGATGGTCCTGGGCTGGAAAAGTGAAGCAATGTAAGGGTTTGTCTACATAAGACAGTTTAGCCTAAGGTGTGAATTTAGGCCATGTCTATACTACAGGGACTATAGAGGCATGGCTACTTCACTATAGCTATGCCGGCATAACCTCATAGTGTCAATCCAGTCTATAGCAATGGAAAGGATTTTTCCAGTGCTGTGGGAACACCATCTACCAGAATGACAGTAGCTAGGTCAAGGAAGCATTCTAGCTGTGTCTACACTGTGGGGTTAGGTCAGCGTAGCTATGGGGCTCAGGGTTGTAGATTTTTCACACCCCTGAGCACATTAGTTATGCCAACCTCAATTTTAAGCATAGGCCAGACCTCACACTGATTTAGTTAAACTGGTGCATCCCACAGTGTGGACATGCTTATTTCAATTTAATTTAAGTAGATTGGGAGCTAAATCACAATTGTCTGTTAAACCACGGTAAGTGTCCACATGGAGGTTTGCACCAATCTAATTAATTAGTTTATCTGGCAAAACTTTCCCACGTAAACAAATACTAAAATTGCTTCAGTGATATCATTCCCTTCTCAAGGTTGACCATTTACTGGCTAGAATCCCTGCTGAAAGTTGTTACTGATCAAGTTCCACATTC